AAATAAAGTGCACCATTTTACATAAACATTACACAGGAATTACCAGTTCTTCAAACTTTGTAAGCACTGTTGTGGAGAGCAATTTAGCATTAACAGTCCTACACAAGCAATTAAAAAATAGTCCTCTTTTTATTAGGTAAGATTAGGACTTACCAAGCGTACTGTATATACCAAGTACAGTATGCGTCTTGTTTGTTAACACATAATACCACATTTTTCCGTAGGTGCTACACATTTACCATGTACATATCATTAGTATGTACAGTTATGTGTTTTTTTAGTTACCATATACGGATACTGTAAGGACGTGCCTGTTTGTACCCACTTGTCCGTAAGTACTACATATTTACCATGTATATACATTAGTAAGTACAGTAAAGTATCTAATTAGTTACCATGTACGGGCACTACCTGTAAGTACCCACACTGGTCTGTATGTACAAAGTAATTACCATGCATGTACGACTGTTAAGTACAGCCGTGTTTCTTATTTGTTACCATGTTCATACACTTCAGGTAAGTACCTTGCCTGTAGGTACAAGATAAATACTGTAAAATAAAGTGCTACCGAAATTTTTCTTGAGAACCAAATCAGTATATTAGAATGTGACACTGAAGTAATGGCTTCTGAAAATTCAGCTTTGCTATCACAGGAATAAATAACATTTTAATTTATATTAAAATAGAAAAGAGTTCTTTAAATTGTAATAATATTTCACAATGTATTTTTGATCAAATAAATGCAACCTTGGTGAGCATAAGAGACTTCTTTCAAAAACATTTAAAAAACTTATTTATGTATTCTAAATAATGGTAATTATATGTTAATTATGCACAATGTTAATTATGTTTCCAAGATAAGAGGGATCATACAAAATGCATGTTATTTTTTATTTAGTACTGACCTGAATCAGATATTTCACATAAAAGACGTTTACATATAGTCCACAAGAGAAAATAATAGTTGAATTTATAAAAATGACCCTGTTCAAAAGTTTACATACACTTGATTCTTAATACTGTGTTGTTACCTGGATGATCCACAACTGTTGTTTTTTTGTTTGTTTTGTGATAATTGTTCGTAACTCCCTTGTTTGTACTGGACAGTTAAACTGCCTGCTCTTCTTCAGAAAAATCCTTCAGGTCCCAAAAATTCTTTGGTTTTCCAGCATCTTTTGCATATTTGAACCCTTTCCAACTATGACTGTATGATTTTTGAGATCCATCTTTTCACACTGAGGACAACTAAGGGACTCATATGCAACTATTACAGAATGTTCAAACGCTTACTGATGCTCCAGAAGGAAACACGATACATTAAGCCTGGAAGTGAAAACTTTTTTTGAATTTGAAGATCAGGTAAATGGAACTTATTTTGTCTTCTGGGAAACATTAAGTATCCTCTGTAGGCTCTGAAGTGCAGTACGAAATGAAAAAGAAATAAGAAAAATGTACACATCATCATTCTGTACAAAAGTTTACACCCCTGGCTCTTAATGCATTGTTTTCCCTTCTGGAGCATCAGTGAGCGTTTGAACCTTTTGTAATAGTTGCATATGAGTCCCTCAGTTGTCCTCAGTGTGAACAGATGGATCTCAAAATCATACAGTCGTTGTTGGAAAGGGTTCAAATATGCAAAAAATGCTTGAAAACCAAAGAATTTTTGGGACCTGAAGAATATCCTCTATCAAGAAGATACAAAGCAACCTCGGCATCCGATTCCAGGCCTTCCCGCTCCTTGAGTTCTCTCCACCGTGGGCTCCGAAATTTACGCGGGTCCTATATCTTGCCTGATCGTTTTGTTCCTCTGAAATGTTCCTCTTTTTTTTTTTTATTAGAATGTGACACTGAAGTAATGGCTTCTGAAAATTCAGCTTTGCTATCACAGGAATAAATAACATTTTAATTTATATTAAAATAGAAAAGAGTTCTTTAAATTGTAATAATATTTCACAATGTATTTTTGATCAAATAAATGCAACCTTGGTGAGCATAAGAGACTTCTTTCAAAAACATTTAAAAAACTTATTTATGTATTCTAAATAATGGTAATTATATGTTAATTATGCACAATGTTAATTATGTTTCCAAGATAAGAGGGATCATACAAAATGCATGTTATTTTTTATTTAGTACTGCCCTGAATCAGATATTTCACATAAAAGACGTTTACATATAGTCCACAAGAGAAAATAATAGTTGAATTTATAAAAATGACCCTGTTCAAAAGTTTACATACACTTGATTCTTAATACTGTGTTGTTACCTGGATGATCCACAACTGTTGTTTTTTTGTTTGTTTTGTGATAATTGTTCGTAACTCCCTTGTTTGTACTGGACAGTTAAACTGCCTGCTCTTCTTCAGAAAAATCCTTCAGGTCCCAAAAATTCTTTGGTTTTCCAGCATCTTTTGCATATTTGAACCCTTTCCAACTATGACTGTATGATTTTTGAGATCCATCTTTTCACACTGAGGACAACTAAGGGACTCATATGCAACTATTACAGAATGTTCAAACGCTTACTGATGCTCCAGAAGGAAACACGATACATTAAGCCTGGAAGTGAAAACTTTTTTTGAATTTGAAGATCAGGTAAATGGAACTTATTTTGTCTTCTGGGAAACATTAAGTATCCTCTGTAGGCTCTGAAGTGCAGTACGAAATGAAAAAGAAATAAGAAAAATGTACACATCATCATTCTGTACAAAAGTTTACACCCCTGGCTCTTAATGCATTGTTTTCCCTTCTGGAGCATCAGTGAGCGTTTGAACCTTTTGTAATAGTTGCATATGAGTCCCTCAGTTGTCCTCAGTGTGAACAGATGGATCTCAAAATCATACAGTCGTTGTTGGAAAGGGTTCAAATATGCAAAAAATGCTTGAAAACCAAAGAATTTTTGGGACCTGAAGAATATCCTCTATCAAGAAGATACAAAGCAACCTCGGCATCCGATTCCAGGCCTTCCCGCTCCTTGAGTTCTCTCCACCGTGGGCTCCGAAATTTACGCGGGTCCTATATCTTGCCTGATCGTTTTGTTCCTCTGAAATGTTCCTCTTTTTTTTTTTTTTATCTGCCATCTCTGGCTATCTATAGTAGATCTGCTAATATCCGTCCTGTGGACTACCTAAGCGCTCTCTTCTTCCTATCATTACTAGACATGCCCCTTATTGCTGATTGACACTGGTGAAAAGCATTTTTCCAATATTTCTTAGTGCACCTTATGTAAACTTTTGAATGGGGTCATTTTTATAAATTCAACTATTATTTTCTCTACCTGCTGCAGAAAAGTGTGCTTTTTCTAGGTTAATCCTCTGATTGACTTTTTTCTTTTTCTTTTTTTTTACAGGTTAATGATGTGAGTAGTCCAGGCATCGACTGGACTAATGAAAATGACAGGTTGTTAGTGTGCCAAGTGTGCATTAAGCTGGCAGATATTAACGGGCCAGCCAAAGACCGCAGCCTTCACCTCAAATGGACAGAGGGTATCGTCAATGAGTTTTATGAGCAGGTATGTCCTATTCACTTCACAATACGCACACAACATACACGTACACAAATGAGATCAACATTTGTGCATTTTTGCATTTCTTCCTTCATAGGGTGATGAAGAAGCCACTCTAGGATTACCCATCAGTCCTTTCATGGATCGCTCAGCACCACAGTTAGCAAAGCTGCAGGAGTCTTTTATCACACACATTGTCGGGCCTCTTTGTAACTCCTATGATGCTGCCGGCCTGCTGCCAGGATACTGGATTGATGAGGAGGGATCAGACGATGAAGAAGAGACGGAAGACTTTGAAACAGAAGATGAGGAGCTGGACGAGGATCTTGAACCAAGTATGAATATACAGTTGTGCTCATAAGTTTTAGAATCCGTAAAAAGGGAGATTTTTATTTAGTACTTACCGTACATTAGGTATCGCACACACTAATCGAGTAGTTTTCCTTACAGAGAGGAGGAAGGGTCGACGTCGGCTATTCTGCAGCATCATGCAGCACTTAACAGAGAACCACAAGGTGTGGAAGAAGACCATCGAAGAAGAGGAGAAGGCCAAAGAGCTGGAGACTCAGCAGCAGCAGCAATCCGAGAGTCCCAGCCTTCCTCCGTCCACCTCCTCCTCCGATGACATCCAGGTCATTCAAGAGGAGGCCGAGGAGGAGGAACGGCAGTAGCAAGAGGAGAAGATCAAGAAATGAAGCTCACTGAAGGGCTTAAACAGAGGTGAACGACCCCTCCCTCTCCTTCACCTACACAAACACACACATTGACACCTAGAGGAAGACCCTAGTGGATCTCCCCGCGCTGAAATTTGTCACTGTGCCGACACTCTGAAGCTAATGCAGTTCACATTGTGTTGAAAAAGGCCTTACTACTGTGAGAGGACCCTTTGGTGGGAACCCCACTTCTATGCACTTTCACCCCATGGAGAAGCAGCGGAGAACGAACGGAGCTTTGAAGATGCAGAACCGTGTTGTGAGATTAAAACAAGAACATAGGCCAGGGCGAATCGTGCCATCCATGGTTACCTGGCTGTGATGCTGCCTTGAACGTAGAGCTCTTAACTCTCCCGTAGGTACTTAAGTCCAAAAGGACTAGAAATAGACAATGACGTAATTGACACCCGTTACCAAAGCGAACAGTTCAAAAACATAGAAAGACTGCGACTGAAGCCGTTTCAGTGTCAGGAAGCATAACTCAAAATGTGCCTGTCTGAACTGAAAAAAAATAATAATTTTTATATATATATATATATATATATATATAGAAAATGGGCTATGTACGCTGCACTGTATGTGCAGTCCCCAATTCATGCTGGTGACATAAAACACTGTATTACTGAACAGAGTCATTAGGACAAGTGGAAATGCTGACATTTTGATTGAAAAATGACCTGACTTCTGCATCGTTTTGGATGCTTTTTTTATTCATGTTGACCACCTTCTTGCAGTTTTTTGTTTGCCTTTGTTGTTTGTAAGATTGTTTTTCTTTTTTTTTCCTTTTGTGGTGCCCCCCCCCCCTTCCTCTTCAGGAATGCTGAGTTGCCAATCATTGAATTTTCTCTGTAAAGTCTGTCTGTGTTTAAAAGCATAGCAAATTGGACGGGAATGCTGTTCAAATGAGGGGACGTTTCTCCTTTTTTACGTTTAAATAGATATATTTTTTCACGGTTACTCAGGATTCATGTGAAGGATCGATCCTTGTTTTTTGCAAAAATTTAAGTCTGCAGTTTCAACTTGCATGTCGAACGTTCTTTTCAGAGGTGGGACAGAAAAAAAGTTTCTATTTTTTGTATGAATAACTTGAAAGTCGCTAACAAAAAGAGATGCTCCCCAAAAATGCAGTGTCCTAGATATTAACTCCAGTTCTTATCAGCTGCTCCAGACTGGTATATCCATGCTTATTTTTTTCAAAGACCCCCTGATAAGAATTGGGACCCAGGGATGTTGCTGAAAACTAAATGTTTGAGTTAGACAAATGTCATAGACAAAACATTGCTTTGGGGCAACTTCACGTTTGGCATTATTTGAACATGCTTGTGCTTAAATGATTGCCAAATGCAAAATCTGGCCAGATAATTTTCAAGTGATCCAGGGTTTCACCTTGAAAGCTGTACTTTTTTTTTCCTTTGCATTTTCTTATTCTTCACCATAAGGCAGGTTTAATACTAATAGTTCTCTATTTTTTTTGTCTGAAGCAAGAACTCTAGGCATTCCACTAGAATAATGAGAGGAGGACGGGGAGGTGGAGATGAACCCGGGTCTCTTTCTCGCTCGGTCTGCTTCACCTCAACAAAAACTCATTTTGTCTCTGTAGAGGAAAGTTCTCAAGTAGGCAATGTAAATCAAACTAGTATATTTAAGAGTAAAAAAAAATGTAAATGTGCACATTTTACTACCAAACAAGTGTTTAACCTCTGCACAGAAAGAATACTTGCATATATAAATATATATATATAATATTATATATTTTTTAATTAATCAACAATGCGTCTGTTTTCTACATACAGCTGACATATATTGTACATTGAGACCATGTAATTATCATCTTGTTTCAGGAGTTTTTTTTTTATTTTTTATCTAATGCTATTTACAGATGTGGATGTGTTTGGGTGTTGTGTTTTTCAATTTGTTAGTTTTTTGTTTTTTTTGGGTGCACTGTCTTTTGTTCCTGCTCATAACCACTCTTTACCGAAAGCCGCTTATTTCTAAAGCTGGCAGTGATGCCGGATGCCTCCCTCTCTCTGTCTGTCTTTGTGGGTTTGTTCATTAGTCACTTTTTGGTCTATGTTCTGTGTTGGGGGCTTTTGCGCACCCAAAGCAGCTTGTGGTGCTTCTCTCTCTCTCTCCCTCTCTCTCTCTCTCTCTCTCTCTTTCTTTTCTGTCCTGATTGTATGTTCATAATTTCTTGGATCCGGGACCCCAGTGTGGCTCATTTCGTCCCCCCTCCTCATCCACTTCACTGAGATCACCCTGGATGGGCTCAAACCCACGCACTCTGAACATCATTCAGGATGCCAAGCAGGGTGACTGCGGATCAGTGTCACAGCACCCCATTCCCTCGTGTTGACCACTTGCTTGACTGTGGTATCTCACTTTTGGGGGTTGGTGGCACCACAGTAACCTCCGACGTTCCTGTCATCAGTACCTTTATGATGGCATTCACTTTTTATGTAGCATTTAGATAGCAATGTCTGATGTAACCATTCAGCCTTTTCAGGGTTGTGGGGGGAAATGGACTTCTTTGCTATTATTTATAACTGTCATAAAAGCACCATCCCTGAACAATAGTTTCACTCTCTCAATTGATTTGTCTGTCTGTGTAATTTTTTTGTGTTCTGTGTTTTGCATGGGAGTGGATGTGTACTTGCCTGTTCTAAGTCAGGGGTTTTCAAACACTAGTGTCTGAAGAGGGGAGTTTTTTAATGAGAAATTGATTTTAGGGTCATCAAAGTCAATGTTTGCGCTTAAAAAGGGATAGTTCATCCAAAAATGAAAATTTGATGTTTATCTGCTTACCCCCAGGGCATCCAAGATGTAGGTGACTTTGTTTCTTCAGTAGAACACATATGATGATTTTTAAGTCCAACCGTTGCAGTCTATCAGTCGTATAATGCATGGCAATGGTAACAAAATCTATGAGAGTAAAAAAAACATGCACAGACAAATCCAAATTAAACCCTGTGGCTCGTGACGACACATTGATGTCCTAAGACACGAAACGATCGGTTTGTGCCAGAAACTGAACAGTATTTATATAATTTTTTACCTCTAATACACCACTATGTCCAACTTTCTTTGGGCGCGCGCACGGCATCCGGTGCGTGAGGTGTGGCGTAGTTTACGCAAGAGCCGGAAGTGATCCAGTCATTGTAGGTATGACGGCTAATCAAAATGGTACTTACTTGCGCTTATCTGGATTGTTCAAACCGACTTAAAACTAAAAGATTACGTTCTCTTGTGCAAACTCATTCGGGAGTGGTGACTTTCCACGTATTCCCAACTTCTGAGCCTGCTCACCTGAAGTTATGGTTGACTGCTCTTCGGCTGGATATCAACACACCCATTAACGTAAACTACGCCAGAGCGCATACACACCTCA